GTTATAATCACACCTCTGCAACTGCATTGGTTGAGAGCGTATTCTTCTCGTGGCATCTCCATAGATGACACACATGGCGCTACAAGGTATACTCTGAAATTAGCGACAGTTGTAGTTGCTGACGAACGCGATAGAGGCCTACCTGCAGGTTAGCCCAGGAGAATCTGGTTAAGATAAGCTGTAAATAGTCAACTATAATTGCAGCATTCCTCCTGTCTGGCACTATGGGCACGGTAGATGTTGAAAAACTTTTCAAGGAAATCAAAAAGTTGATGCCTGACTTCAATCCCGCGCGCATCGTTACCGATGAGGCCATGTGTTTTTATAGTGGATTTCGTTCAACATTTCCGCAATCAACAGCGAAGCTGCATTATTGCCGCTGGCACATCAGTAAGAGTTGGGAAAAGAAAGTTAGAGAACTAGTTGAAGTAAGACTTGTTTTTTTCCATACATGTATGGGAACTAATGCGAGTTTTCTCAGCCTCAACACCGCGCACAAGTGAACATGGAGCTGAAACAGCTGTTGCTTGTGGGTCAGTTGACCGATTTTCAACAGAGGTTTGCACATGTTCTGGCCTTTTTAGATGTCGAAAGACATCAAAGGATGGCACAATACTTGAGGACTAATTATCTTAGTAAGTTCCTGAAGATTATTGGGGTTCTTGGAATGTATTTGACTTTCCTAGGTCGAGTAAAAAGCTGGGCTTCTTTCCACGTTGAAGGAGCCGTAATGGACACCACGATGCTGAGCGAGCGCTGGCATTTACGCTTAAAAAATGAAATCTTGCACAGGAACGCAAATTCACGGATAGATTGCTTAGTAGAGCTCCTAATACGCGCTGTTGAAGATCTTGCGGATTCAAATGAGATTAAGGTAGATTTTGTTAGTGACCTTTGTGATGGCACCTGATTAGGATGCGTTTTTAGGACCGGCGGCGCCTTGCGCAGGCATCTTTTCGGACACAGCAGACGTCTATAAGACATCGCTCGGCACAAGCGCAGTACCAGGGAAAATCTGAGAAAATCACGTCGATAGGCATAAGGAAATGGGAGGTCGAAGGAAGAAAGCCGGATGCGAAGTTCATAGTTGAGGACAAAGGAGGATGCATATGTCCTCCAAACTTTGGTAAAAATGTGCATTGCCCGTCGTGCAATGTGTGTCCATACTCATGGACGTGTAGCTGTTTGGACAATAGGGCTGGCATCTCATGTGTTCATCGACATGCCGTGAAAATGTTTGAAGACCAGAATGCACCGTGTGGTGAAGAGCATTCGCCAGCAGTGATGGAAGAGCACGAAGAAATAGCCTTGCGCTCCACATCTAGCAGTGTTGTTAGCGAAGTGCAAAGCCGTATGGACATGAGGAAAAGCATACGGAATAATATAGAAATGGTGAGTATTCCCCAAGAATTTGCACGTCCTGAACCCTTACATTTCAGAGGTACTCCGTTGTCAGCACAAACGTTAATAGGCTTGTAAACAGCGACACCCAGGAGGCTTGCGCAAAATTGCTCGACATCCAAAATCTCATTGATCAAGCCTCAAAAATAACACTGCTTTCCAGCTCTTTGGAACCTCGAATTGCAGTGCGCCCCGAACTCAGTAAGCCTGGAATGAAACCACTTTTGAAGAAAGTTTCGCTATACACGGTAAGATATCCACTGGTCACTCGAAGGTCTCCCGTATTGAGGTGAATGCTTTCAGAGGGCAGAATGCAGAAGACAACGAAACGCTGATAAGAATAACAACGAGGAATGAGCCAAGAATGAAAAAAAGATCAAGAGGTCATAATGAAACTGTTGGTGGTTTGAAAAGTGATTTGGATTTGAGTGCCGATCATTTCTAAAAAGAAGCCATTGTTCACGTGGTGTAATCATGTTTCTTGATTTTCTTGATGTTTCAGCACGTTCATTTACCTTTCAATTATCTGATGCTTCGAAGAAGTGTCAGGCGGAACAATTAATCGTAGGAGAAGCTGCTGCAATACTGTTCCCATTGGTGAGGATTTGTTTTATCGAGAAAATTCTTCCTCGATTACATATTAAACCATAGGAGCTTGTCTTTACATTAATTCAGATTGATGCACTGCGATCCGTTGAATTGATTTCCACAATGTCAAGTTCGAAGACTACAATATACTGAACGACCCTGAATTAAGAGAAGGCGTGAAGATTTACAGTGAATGGCCAACTACATATTCCCCAGGCAGGTAGTTTATCAGGTCTCCTAACTGTGCAGTGAGTGCTTACCTAGCTCATTACGTTTCAGGTATACGTTAAAGGCGAATTCGTTGGAGGATGTGACATCATGGTACAAATGCACAAAGATGGAGAGATTTAGTAAGATATATTAGCTCAATATACAATGTGTATGAAACTAGATTAATAATATTTCTTCAGCGACTCTTTCGACTCAAAAGGGTTCGCAAGCAAGTATGGAGAGGCAAAGTGAAATGGCCCACACTTATTCTCCTCCAAGTCATTATGATAGATGTTCCAGTTGGACCCATGAATTTTTCATTATATGAGCGAAACTTGTAGTTGTTGTCGTCTAGTTGCAGTTCTATCGTCTTTTTTGCTCAAGTTGAATCATACAGACATGTTGATTTATGTTTATGCCATTGAGTAAACATGAAACAGCACGTTCCGTGGAGTTTTTCGTCTATAAAGAGGGCAGTGTTTGCATCGTAGCTTTAAGCGGGATTTAACGTGAAAAGCATACAAGTGGGTCTATTGATGAAATCTAATAACAGGACTGCAGAAGGCCTTTTCCTCTGTATTGCGTTGTACGTGGGCATTGTTTTACGCTATTGAGAGTCGCCCGTGGCGACAGTGGATTCTATCTTCTTTAACGATGGCGCCTGGCCTATGAAGATGGGTATCACTTCGAAACGTTCGACCACTAATTAATTTAATTAACTTTTCCACCTAAAAAACGGCAGAGGAATTTCAACAATTGCTGATAGCAATTTGTAGACTCGTGGAACTCACTTATTCCCGTCCTTTGATATTTTTTCTTTGGTCATGATAGTACGAAGGGATGAAGGGCAGGAACTGTATTTTGGAACGGAGATTATATGACTTCTTTATCATTTTCGATATAAGAACATACTTTTCTCACCTAACTTACACATACTCAGCAGCTAACTCTCACATACTCATCCCCCATTGAGTCTCACGAATAGCGATATTGCGATTATCATCCTATTTCGGCTTCTGTATGAGATTTCTGCAACTCATTATCTATATAAGTCGCCTACACAACTGGATTTATGCACACTTCGAGCATACCCACGCTCAACAGGGAGTTTGAGGAAGCCTTTTCCAGCTGGCCTACACTGTTATTCAATACGTGGACAATATGAGTATGAGCTCGACATTTGAGATACGGATGTCAAGTTTTTAACCAGAAATGGAGACTTTTACTTAACATAGATAATGCTTTTCAGGATTGTGTAGTGAGTTGCTATTGGAGGTACCTACTACACATGGGATATTTAGGCATTTCACAACAAAAATGTATCAGATACAATGACTAAGAGGCGTTCTCGTTTTCGCACATAGTCGTCACATCTCACATTCTGTTCGTTAGAGGCCATGCGTTTGTCCTTGAATCCCTGTTTACTTCCAGCATGAAAAGGCTCCCTTTCATGGCTTTGTTATTCGTAAACAGTAATTTATTCAGCGTTGTGCTCTAGCAAGTGTTACGGGAACTGAACGCACG